AGATTTTAAAATCCTATCTATTCTTGAAAATAAAAGCTCGAAATGATTTTCAAATATGCTAAATAAAATAAAAAAAATTTGATACTGATTTTTTATCTCACTTTCTCTTTTTCATTCAATTTGAATTTATAAAAGTCATCTGCCTTAAAATAAATGTTTAGATTTGTGCTGTAATTACATTTCGAAAAGAAAATTATACGAGTTTAATATTTGCCATTATTATAAAAATAATTTGAATAATAATACACGATTAAAAATGAGAAAAAATTATTTGATATTAAATTGATATAAATTTTAATTGATTAAATTTATTTGATATAAAAATTTTATACATAATATATGTTCGCAGTGCTTGGTATCAGGATGGGGAGGTCAATATTCCTTCCGTTGTCAACCGGTAGATTATTCAGATAATCCATTGGCACTTCGAATGGCACGAGGTTGTTGGTGGTATTATTTCTCAAAATTTATCGAATTTTTGGATACAATATTCTTTGTGTTGAGAAAGAAGAATAATCAGATCACAACTTTACACGTAATCCATCATGGATGCATGCCGATATCTGTTTGGTTTGGTGTTAAATTCAGTCCTGGTAAGTATTTATCAATTTGATTTTTTCTATCTAATTTTTGACTATTTGCATTTGAAATAGATTTGTACGTAAATGGATCAATATTGGGCATTTTTTATTTGATTTAATTGAAATAAAAAATATATATAAAAAAAAAAGAAAATTACTTTAAATAAAAAATAAATTTATTTTAAATAAGAAATAATAAATGAAATAAATTTTTAATTATTTACATTTTAAATTTTTATTATTTTAATTTTGTAATATATATTTTAAATATTATTTTATTTTAAATAATTGATAATAACATTACTTGTTTTTTAAATATCCTTTAATTTGCAAAAGATTAATTTGAAAATTATATATAGAATCATATGATATTTCTCTTTATACCTCAAACAACTTTTATTTAAACATTTTTTTTTTTTAATAAGTTCAGCCTCGTTTCAATTTTGCAATATTATGAAAACATTTTATATACAATTTATATACAACATTCTATATACAATAAATTTATAGAATATATTTTTTTATTATTTTTTTCTATTCATTTTCACTTATTTTCATTCGAATAAAAATTACACAATACTAAATGCTATCAATCTAATGACGCAAAAAAATTTCTCAACACGCTCAAAATTCAAAACTCGATTACGACCCAACTTTCGTTTGCAGGTGGCCACAGTTCGTTCTTCGGCTTCCTCAACACATTCGTGCACATCTGGATGTACGCCTATTACTTCTTGGCCGCTCTTGGACCAAAAGTGCAACGCTTCCTCTGGTGGAAGAAATACCTGACCACCATGCAAATGGTTCAATTCGTCCTTGTGATAATCCACGCGTTCCAGCTTCTCTTTATCGAATGTAATTATCCGAAAATATTTGTCTGGTGGATCGGCACGCACGCTATCATGTTCTACTTCTTATTCCGTAATTTCTATACCCAAACGTATAAGAAGAAATCTTCCACCGTGCAGTTAAAGAAGGAACTAGAAACAGAGAAACAGAAGAAAGAGCAGAATGATAGTGTGAAGGAGAACAGGACGATATATGCCAACGAGTACAAAATGGCAACCGGATATATCTCTGACAGTGGGCTTAGGAACCGTGTGTTTATCGACAATCGCGGTTTCCAAAAGTAAAAAATTTCGAAAATAATTATCTATGCATCGTATTTCGTGAATACACAAATGTGAATTCGTGTCACATAATAATGTGATAGCCGATCTAAACCAATATAAATTTTAAAAAAATAAGTTCTAATGGCGATTCTAAATATTAAATCTTGGGTTATAAGAAGTTAAAATTAAAGAACTGCCAAATTTCATCTCTTAAGATTAAAAGATTTAAGACTTAAGATTAGTCAATGAAAAAACTTGAGGCCATCATGTTTACTATGGCTATGTGATTGCAGATTATTTGATGACAAAGAAATTAATTGCTCAAACAGTTTCAAATCCTCATGAGCAATCTTGGAATTAAAAATTAAAAATTATAATTATTTGATGACAAAGATCAAATGAAGATAAGAGCTCAAATAATTTCAAATTGTCATGAGTAATTTTGAAATTGCAATTGTTTGATAACAAATAAGATTAGTTGATAAGAATATAATTTCAAACCAATTATAACTAATATCTAGACTTAAAGATCTGATTTTTCTCTCATTGTTTGAATTTTAACAATGTTACTAATCGATTAATCGTTTTTTAAAGATTTAGAATTAAGATTTAAGATCTATTATAGACCAATTGTGATAAAATGTATCACAATTTGATATGATGTCAAGAATATCAAATTGACGCGTTCCTTCTTTTTTGAATTTTTCGGCTTGTCTATTGATTATTGATTATATGAAATTACATTCATGTGAAATTTTTCACAACGTTTCAAGTGTGCTTGCAGATGTATGTCTTTATATGAGCAAGACTGTATCAGTGAATGTATGAGAATTAGAGTAAGATATAAGGAGGAGACGTGGCGGCAATACACCGCCAATACAAATTTAATTATCGTTTAGTTAAGATTACGAGAATTGCCAAAAAAATTTTTCTTTTCTTTTTAAGGCTTTTATTATGAATCTTGTAAATTATGTTGATCGTGATGAAATTCAAAAATTGCACGCAACGAAACGAGTCAAAGAAATCAAACTCATTAACTTTTTTTCAATTATTCATTCGAAAAAATTAACTAAAAATCAGTAACATTGTATATTATATTTTAGATTTTATATATTTTAAATTTAATTTTTTTAACTTATGAACTTTTAAGAAAATAGAATTGATTAATTTGGTTCCTAAGTAGCTCAAATTATGTTACAAGCAATTTTATGTCAAATATTATGTCAAACAATTTATATTATATATATATAATTTATGTTATACTATATATATATATATATATATATAATATATATTTTATATATATATATAATATTCGTATTTTTTTTTTACAATTTTGTAATGGTTATTTTTAAATCCATTGAATGTATTATTAAAATTTTTATCATTTAGATATTTTCTATCATTTAAAAAATTCTGAAAAAATTTTAATATACTTTCAAATATATATTGAAATTCAAAAGAAAATTATAAAAAATTTGAAATATCTATGGTGACGAATCCTGACATAGCATGCTATTGAAAAGTTAATTATATATATGATGTAAAATCAATCTCAGAATAAGTAATTAGTAGCAATTATTCTCGAATGCAAGATATTTGTGTATTTTAAACGAATTTTATATATAAATGATATTTCCTTTTTAAGAAAAGATTATCATAGAGAAGAAACCACTAGTCGGGTATTAAAAACGCTTAAAAAACTCATTTTCAAATATTAATATTAAATTCGTATTTTATTGTAGCGATAATTATCTTTTTTTTTTTTTTTGTCAAGATAGTTTTACACAGTTAATAACACAACTTATTTAATTTTTACACAATATCTTTTCTTTGTTGATAATTTTCTGTGATAATTTTTGGTCAATGTTTATCTATACAATCGATTTAGTATACACTTAGAGGCATAAACGGGCGAACGTTTAATTTTTAAATGCGTAGAAAGAAATTAATTTTTCGATCAAAAGAAATATTAATCTAATCTATGATGCGAACTACACATTTGACGCGTAGATATATTATAACTTTATATAATACGAGTTGTTAATGGAAGATCTATTTATTTTATAAAATAAAAATTTTACGATTTTTAATTAATTAATTTCTTCTATCTTCATCTTCTTTTATTATATTCAATCTTATATCTTCTAAGATTGTTTTCCAATGTTTTTCGACTTGCAACATTCTTTCTAACAATTTAGAAATTTTTTTTTTTGCATATTTCTTTCGAAATAGATTCGAAGTCCGAAGTTGGATTGGTAAGTTTATGAAAATAACTAATATATCGATTATCTAATACAAAAACAATCGAAAAAAGTATTATAATAACTAGTATAATAAATCTGATTATTTGATATTCGTAATTCCAATAGATTTCATATTAATATATAATGTCAGAAAATTTGTAACAATCTTATAAGAATGAAAATTATCTTGGTATTATCTTGGTACTATGAAAATTATCTTGGTATATATTACAGAAAAATGCGGATTCTTGAAATCTTCGTGTTAAATCGGGAGAGATCGGATATATTCGGATACATTTATGAAAGTATTTATGAGTTAGATTTTCAAAAATATAGTACTTGTATAGATCGATATAGATGTATCGAGATCCTGAAATTAATCGATCTCATATAAATATATTGCAGAAATCAAATGAAAAAGTTCAAATAATGAAGTGATTTCAAGTAACTGCACAATTATTTGTATTATGAGTCTTGAGTCAATTAATGATGGTTGACTCTAATTATTTGCAGCTGTCTATCAACTCTTGAATTTTATCCGACTTCTAACTATATTTTTAATAGAACAATAATATTCATAATAAATTCTAATTAGACTTTTCATCAAATAAAGTTCGTATCCTTAAAAAATCTTTTTCTAGTTTAATTGGAAGATCACTTCGTGAGGCACGATAATAATTAATAATATTGCGTCACTGTCTCGAGAAAATTAGGAGAAAATTCCTCGAATAATCAGTGTACAAACATATTAAAGTTCTGATAATTAGGGATTTATTATATATATTTATTATAGATTTTCTAGATTCCGAATTAAAATGATGTTGGTTGTTGAATTAGTCTATATGTCTGGAGTATACTCTTGGACTCCACTCTAGCCAGGATAAAATATATAATATATTATATTTTTATATTAATATAACTATTATCATAATATTTAATATTAATGAAAACAATAATTCTGTTAAAATATTTAAAAAAAACATTAAATACTATTTAAAAGTTTTATTAAAATAGAAAAATAATTCTTATGACAAATCAATGTCTATTATAATAAATTATTAAAATCCATTTTAGTATTGACAAAATTGTTTTGATGTATGTTATATTATGTAAAAATATTATATTAATGTATGAATAACTATAAATAATCATCAATTACTAAAATAAATTATTAAAAATGTTTGTTAAAATATTGAAATTTTATGCAAATTTTAATCTATGTATTGCAAAAGTTCAATAGGAAATGACTTCAAAAGGAAATGACTTCTCGCTTTGATCTACATTAAAGGTCACCACAACCGTCACGAAGTTCAATGGAAATATACAATCGATATCATAAAGTATGATTTTTTTTATTAAAACGATCAATAATTTCGAATCATTTTTGTCATATCTTTAATAATTTATGTTAAATATTATAAATTATGTACATGTAAAAAATTATTGATTATATAAATTATATACGATATAATCTTTCATATAATGGTAATATCATATAATTTATAATTTCATATTTACATCGATAATTACAATATTTAATTTTAATTCTTATCACTACTAGCGTTGTAATCTTATTCCGTGCAGAATCAAACATGATATTAAATTCGACATTATATTTGAGATAAAAAATATATTGCATATTTTAGAAATTATGTAATTTATCATCATTATCATCATTTTTGTGATGATAATTTAACATATTATGTTTTTAATTTTTTAGCATATATTTTTGGTGATATTTTAACAATCTCAATAGATAATTCAGGTCTCTTACTTACCTAATGAAGGATATTGTACCAAAAACTTCAAAACACGAAAGCGAGATGAATTCGAATTTTTTATCTTCTATATTTTTCTTAAAAGTAAACGTAAATTTACAAAGTTCATAATAAAAAAGAGAAATCTAATTTAAACTAATTATTATGGCAGTGATATATATATAACCAATACGATTCGATAATAAAAATAAAACTAAAAAATTAGCCAACAATATTTGATCGGTTTCATTATCACTTGAATATATTATAAATTTAAAAAAAGTTCCATACATCCCAGTAGAGACAATCTACTTGTTAGTTTCGAAAATAAACGAAGTAACCAATAGTACTAATTTTCATTAGTGAAAGTGACAACTTGGTGAAAGTCAGTGAGCCATACGACATAAAGGAGACACCGAATAAACTGCATTATAACCTCACAAATGCATGTGCTATACATGCTAATAAATTACGACAGATATATCATACTTTTACCGTCGATTGCGTTCGATTAGAACAAGTATTTATTCTAATGTAATATATGAGAATTTACTGATATCGAAAAATTAATAAAATATAAAGAATTGGAATGTATACCAATCGGGTTAAACAATGCAAAAATTTTACTAGAATATTCCTATTATTCACTAAGAGACATTTTTAAATACAATTCGTCTTTGTTATTCTAATATATTGTAATATATTTTAATATATTCTAATAATTGTTATTTAAATTCAATCGACATTAGATCGATATTGAACTCGCATAATAATTATTATGTTATATGAATTATTATATTATAATGTGAGAACAAATTTGCAAGTAAAAATAATTATTACGTTCGATTTTTTTTTTGTATTTACATATTTAAAATTACTAAGAGTATCCATGTAAACGATTGGACAAACGCAATAGTGCAAGAATACGTATGAATTTGATTTTTTAAAAATACCACGAAATGTATATGTTAATAGTTAACGTATACAGCGAAGGCATAATAAAAAATGTAATAACAAAATTCCATCAAAAATAAACGATGAAGTAAAATAGATTATATTCTGCTTTGTTCGAGTAAACGAAAGTGCCAAGATAGCGAATCAAAAACGTAGTTATGTTTTGCGTCATTTTCCAGATTCTGAATTACGCAACGCGCTAAAATTTTCTCATATGTATATGTACGCAATACTTTTTATTACTTTATTTTAAATATTATTTGAATAATTATCTTAAATAATATGAAAAAATTTATCTAAAAGATAAATTTATTTTATTTATCTTGTTAAATAAATAAAATTAATTAGATATTTCTTATTTGATTAGAAAAATATATAAATTTCTTATTTCTTTATATATATATATATTTTTATTTAAATTTTTGATTTATATATTTCTTCAATGTAAAACAAAATCTGTGTTTATATTGTTCAAATAATGTAATCATTTTTATCATTATCTCAAATAATTAAACACTTATTATAAACAAATAAAACAAAATTAATTTTTCATAACGAAACTTTTATTATATAATTTATTCGTAAAATTTTCTTTTGTCTTTTTTTTTTTATTTCAAATA